TTTCCTTTCCGCCTGCGGAAGAGGGCTGAGGGAGCTGTCAAACATCTGGAGCTGATGGTCGTAGCAGGTCCAGATGTTTACTTGTACCACAAAGAGGACACGGAGCGATATATTCTTGCCAACCTGAACATTGTGAGTAGCTTTCTGTTTGGATTGCTGTTCCAGTGTGGGAGCTCAAAGTGTCGCAGGCTGTGTCATAGGCAGATGGACCTCTGCGAGTGCACTTTCAGAGGTGTTCATGGTCACCTGCTCCTAGTACAGAGCACTGCTTATGTGCAGGACATTCCTCTCTGCTTCTCTTGGCACTGCATGGCAAGCTTTCCCTTGTACAAGGAGCTGCACGAGCAAAAGTAGATTTTAGAAGCTTTGGGGTTGTAGCCTTAAAGCCCGTGTAGAAAATGCAGATCTCTATTTTGTTACTAATACTGTTGTGTGTCAGATACGGTAGCAAGAGTTTTATCACCAGAGCCTTGATCCAGTTTCTGTTGCTTTCAGTGAGACTGAACAAGATCTACTGAATTAATCTTACATTTCAACGTTTTTTTTTCTTTTACAAGATTTCTCTAAATGCCTCCCTTTACTATTATTTGTTTATGCATTTTCCATGTGCATATATTGCAAAAAAGTCTTTAGTATTCACTCTTCTACCCTATGAAACTGTTTTCCGTGCAGATTTTTCTTTCTGCTTCAGAATATCCGACAAGTCTAACAACAGTTCTCATCTGTTGACAGATTTATTTAACATTTGTAGTGCATACTTTAACCTTGTATTCCTGGTGATTTTATAGTTGCCCGTTATGGTTACCAGGTGTGTTACCTTTGTAATGAATGCAGCCCTCTTATTGGGAACAGGTAGTGGGAATCATGGGAGTTACCAAGGTACCTTCTTTATTGAATCCTTTCTGTCTCTTAATAGGGGGCAGAGCTGCTGAGAGATGCTTCACTGGGTGCTCATTTCAGGGTTCATCTTATGCAAATGCTTGTTCTGAGAGAACCAGAGGTAAGCAGGGAGCACTATGTTCATGTGTTGTCCAAGGGGTTGCTGAAAGCTGTATGAAATCTGCAAACTGGTGCCTTTGCTCCAGGCAGAGGTGAACATCACAACAAATATCACCTCCTCACTGATCAGCGTTTGTGAGTGGAGCAAGAAGGTCAACCCCCAGAACGACTCTGACCCCCAACATGCTGACATTGTCCTCTATGTCACCAGGTACTGAAGCTCCCCTGCCCTGGGAGGGAACTGGAGACAGGGCTGATGGTGTCCAGCTGTTAGTGCAGTGACAATGGTTTGCACTGGGTCTTCCACGAGTTGGGCATCACAGAGACTTTAGAAATGGGTTGATTCTCCTGCCCTTAGTGTAATGCAGTTAGTCAGAGGTGCTGTTCCTTCACTTTCTGAAGTAACTGGAGTAATCCCCAAGCGCTGACTAGCCAGACCTGACCAGACATTGTGTGCTTTCAGAGCAGCACGGCCAAACCCACTGCAGCTTTTTGTGGACAGAAAAGTCGAACAGTAACTGGAAGCGAAAACCCACTGGAGTTTTCTATGGAAGATTTCTAGTGCTACTTTGACTCAGACATTTTGTCTGACTTTCAGGCTCCTTGCTCTAAATTGCCTTGGCTAAATTTGTCAAAGGCAAACTTTTTGAGTGTAATGGCTTTGTTTTGGTGATCTTTCTTCAAAGAGGTGATGACACTGCTCTGTCTTTTGCATATAGGATTAGGTCGTCTTATTCTGTTCTGCTTGTCTGGGGTCATGGGGATTTTTTTAATGTAGAGTCACCACGAGTTTTGAACAGTGGGTGTTCTTGGAACCCTGCTGCTACCATCTTAGGTTAAACCATGAGACTGGCAAGGTGCCAATAAATTCAGTTGAATTTCTAGACCTGACTTTATTAGCTGCAATGGTTCATTACTCTTTCCTCTGTATCTTTATGTTACTTTAGGTTTGACTTGGAGTTACCTGATGGGAACAAGGAGCTACGTGGAGTGACTCAGTTAGGTGGAGTCTGCTCCTCCTTCTGGAGCTGTGTTATTACCCAGGACACTGGCTTTGACCTCGGAGTCACTATAGCCCATGAAATTGGGCACAGGTCAGTAGGAAAGCCCCTGAGCAGCCCAGTGTGTTTTATTCTGGTAAAAACATTCTCCAGTTTAAATGATTCGGAAGAAGAAAAAGAATCTCTTGGCATAACAGGGGGTTTCCTATAGATTATTCAAAACTTTAGGAGAGAATTCCTTGCATTTCTTGTATTCCTGCATGCTCTGTGACAATTAGAAGCTGCAGAGGAGAGAAAATCTTTGTGACAACAGTAGAAGGAAAGGCTGCAGAGGGAGCTCAGTCCTTGCTTAGAGAAGAGAGGCTCCAAGGAAAGCCAGCCTCTGGGTTTGTTCTCCTCGGGGCACTGTTCTTCTTCTGTTACAGTCTTGGAATTCCCCACGATGGTGAGGGGAATCAGTGTAGCAGTAGCGGTTAACACATCGGGTTAACCACAACAGCATCGCCCTCGCCTGGTCGCAGTGCAGCCGAGAAGCGTTCCTGGCCTTCATCAGGTAAGGGAATGGTCGAGATCTGTGTGCCCATGTGGGAATGGTTCCCTGTGCTGGGAGCCTAGGAGAGAGCAGGGAAAGACAAGGAATAAAATAAAATTCTTGGAAAACGAGGAACTGTGAAAAGCTTGGAGTTTGTTTATTTCTTAGCACTTGTGTCTGTTGCTGAGGTCAAACCCAGTTTTTGCTTCAAGTAGCTGGAAATTGCTTTGGTTAGTGACTAACATGCCTGGGCTGTGTCGTACTTCTCAGACACTAGCTCAGCCTGGAAATTTTATTTAAAATGTCAGAGCATCAAGGTTTAAACAAGCATTGTGGGCTGTGAGCTGGCTGGGTGAGGTCAGGAATGGGTTTCTGTTATAACTTCAGCAGCAGGGAACTGTGACTATCTCCAGGCAGCTGCTGCAACTAAATCCATCACAGCCCACAGTAAGCATGTGTTGTCTGAGAAAGCAACAGCCAACTCCCAGAATGAAACTCAGCACAAGTTTGCAAACATGTCGTTGTCCTTACTGCCCACAGCTGGGAAAGTGATATTTCTTATGTTTCTATCAGCACAGGCCAAACAAACTGCTTAAATGACCTGCCGGACATGGACGGCAGCATCCCTGGATGGAAGCCTGGCTTGTACTATGGAGCAGATGAGCAATGTAAAATAGCCTTTGGGAGTGTTGCCACAGCATGCACCTTTGCTGACAGCAATGTTGTAGGTAGAAAGTTTGCCTGTCTTGCTAGGGGCAGCAGGGAAATGTTCTGGAACCAAGATTCAGGAAAAGGGAACTGGGGACGTTTTTCTTATAAAGGAATGGAAGGTACTTTCCTGCCACAGATTTCTTGGCAAAGAACAAACCTTCAAAGGCTTTTAAAATGCTTCCCTTCTCTCCATCACCTCCTCCTTCCACATAATTCTCCTTTAAGGTTTGCACAGTACCCAGAGCCTTCTGTCCAAACAAGGGCCTGGTGGTGCTAGTGCTGGGAATGCCTGCTTGGGTGAGTCTTGAGTCCTGTCTTGGGGAGCTCTTGTTCATTGGATCCCTTTGGTTTCCCTGCCATGGCACAAGTCCACATGGCTGAGAAATGTAGCATGGCTAATAGCTGCCATCTGGACATATTTTGTTAACGAGGCAGCATTAAGGTGAATGCAACTTTATTGTATCAGTTGATTATCCCCTGACATTACAGCTGGCACTGCTGGTCTTGTGACATGGCCACAACTTTTGCCCAGTAGCAGGAGAAATGAAGGGACTTGCTTACATTGTTGGGCACCTGTGGGGAAGCCAGACATGTGGGACATGCACCACTTATATGAGACTGCTGTGTTGGTGATCCTAAGTGACTCCCTGAGCTCCTTGATTTTCTTGTCACACCAGGACATATGTGAAGTTCTCTCATGCCATGTACAACCAGGAGACAAATCCAGCTGTACTCGGCTGCATGTACCCCTCTTGGATGGTACTGAGTGTGGAATCAATAAGGTAAGGAGGGTGCTGATCTGATGATCAGAAGTGGCTGTGGGTGCTATGGGGCTCATTAGATAGCAAGGCATTGTTGGTAGCTGGAAGGTACATGGCACCTGCCCCTTGGCCAGAGAGCGAAGGCCAGACCAGTCACCAACTGGTACCGGCTGATCTTGGTGTTTCCACCTTGCGTGTATCTCTGGAGTTGTTTTGCAGGTCTATAGCCTGGCATCTGAGCTCTCCTCCAAGGCTTTGTTTTCTGCTTGAAATGACCTGTCAGCTATTTGTTTTAACCCCAACCTCATGTTAGACTATAATTAGGAATGAGACTCTTTTAGCCTCTTGTGAGAAGGTGCCTTGTTCACCTTGGGATTCTCTGTTCCAGTCTGGTGTGCCAAAAGATGGGGACTTGTGCCACCCTGGTAGATCCAAGCCCTGCTGAGTTCACTGTGGTGGTGCTGCTGCCAATTTTGTGTGTTCTTGGTCTTTAGTGGTGCTCCAAGGGACAGTGCAGCTCCCTGGAAGAACTGAACCCCATGGCTGTAGTCCATGGGCAGTGGTCTGGCTGGAGCCCCTTTTCCTCCTGCTCCCGCAGCTGTGGAGGTGGAGTTGTGATAAGGCAGCGGTTCTGTAACAACCCCAGGTAAGAGGTGGGGAGTTCACAATGCCTCTTGACTGATTCGGGGCCATCGGGTCTGAGTCCTTTTCTTTGCTTGGGACAAACCTGCCCCTCTTGAGAGTACTTTTCCTATCATTTCCAGGCCTGCTTTTGGGGGGCAGGAATGTCATGGCACCAGCATCCAAGTGGAGATGTGCAATACTCAGGTAATGGAGCTCATCACATCTCCTGAGCTTTTTTTCTTAACACCGTTTAACCGTTTGAGAGCTGTATGGTTTGGGACTGTAATTCAGAGCTGTCTGCTCTGGGAAGGAGGACTAAAGATCTGGCATACAGCCTCCATCTGTCTGACAACAGGGGAAATATTTATTCCACTGTGTCTGAAGACAGCAGTATTATTTAATAGCATCGTTCACTTGTAATGAAGCATTTTCTCTATGGCTTCATAGCTGGACGGACACTGAGAAAATAGTGACTCGCTTAATGACAGTTTTCTTGAGAAGGACATTCTTATATTGTTCCTGTTTTCCTTATCCATTTATTTTGTACAAATAGCAAAGATATCAGCTTCCAAACACAATTTTCTGCATATCCCACAGCCTTCCTTTAGAGTGTTTTTCTTTATTTGTGGTTGTTTTGGTGTTTTACTTACCAGCCACTGCTTTCTGCCTTTAGCTAGTGGGTAAAATGCTGCTTGGGATTCTGTGCTCAGTAACTTCCCTTCATTACCCATACAATTCTCTCTGGGATGTAGGCCTGTTTGCTGACCCAGCAGGACTTTATGGCTGAACAATGTGCAGCAACAAATTTAAAGCCGCTGTACCTCACTGTAGAAGCGCCGTCCTTTTATACCTGGACTTCTGCTGTTGGCTTTGCCAAAGGTAAGGAAAGACTGAGAAACCGTGGTTTCTTTGTGAAGGGGAGCGCTCATGGACCTGTCTGTACTTTGAAGTCAAAAAGTGATTTCACTGATTGTTGTAGTTTTCAAGTGAGACCTGGGTACTCTTTCTGTCACATCCTTTTGACTTCTTCCCATTGCTTGACGATCAGCCACGTGCCTTTCTGAAAGAGTAACTCCTTTCTTCTTCTGTCCCCCTTCTCCAGGGGACCTGCTATGCAAGCACATGTGCAGGGCTGTTGAAAACGATTTCATGGTAAGCCGTGAAGACAGTTTCATAGATGGAACCAGATGCGAGCAGGATGACTCGGAACACCACGGGACTTTCAATCTGTGTGTAATGGGAAGTTGCAGAGTAAGTAACTGGGGAATCCAGGTGAGCTTCTGACATGTAATCTGCACCAAAGGAGTCAGTTTACTAGGAGCAGGGATAAAAACCACAGTGTCCCAAACAATGGAGTGAGCTCTTCTCAAAAGAAGAGAGTTTTGTTCTTAGGTTGTTGGATGGAGTCCAACAAATTTACTGTTCTGTCTGTACATCCAATGCCCTCTAGATAAGACATTCTGCTAATTATGCGGTAAGTACGTAAGGCTATTCATCCCTAATCCAAGAAGGAATTGGTTTATGCATTGCTTGAGGAGATATCATTAGCTGTTCAGTTTGCTTGGTATAAATAGCCCTATAAAATGCTGACTCTGTTGGAGAAAAGTTACATGATTTGAACATACCGAGTCAGTGGCAAAATAAGGAATCAAACCTGGGAATTGTAAATTGACAAATTGATTGTTGCAGTATCACTAATCAAAACTGAAGTATATATATATTTTTTTCTGGATTGGACATGAGAAAGGCATTCTTTCATGATGAACTTGAATATGACTCCCCCGCGCTGGCTGCATTTTAGTAACTGCTCAATACTGACCCAGTTGTATGTGTTCTGTTGTTTCTTTACATTTCCAGAATATGCTTTTAAAATTTTATGTTTTTCTCATTATGTTCTTGTTCACAATGTTTCGTAATGCATTTTCACCTAACGAACAGCAGAGGGTGTAGGTTTAATCTATTCTGTTTTCTGGTGTTCTGTTGGCGACAGTTATAAATACGTATGTTATGGCAGCATCCGAAGCCTGGGATCAGTGCCTCTAGCAAAAATTCAGCAGTTGCACATGTTTTGCTGCTAAGCCTGCTGAGATCCTCCTGTAGCTTTGTGTAAATTACTCTTGTTCATGAGAATGAGGATAGAATCTCTTTCCTGAGCTCCATGGGACTGAAGGCCAGGCTGAAGAATGTGAGCTAGGTTGTGGGTTTGGGGAGCTAAAGATTCCTTTAGAACCTGACATTCATGTTTACTGTTCTCCTGGGCGTTATTTTTTTTTTCCTTCCCTCTCTAGAAAGAGTCTGTATAAGAGAGAGGGTGCAGAGCCTTCGTTTTAGGTCGTAAGAGAAATCTTTTTGGACTGCTTTTTATGGGAAAGAATATGTCACACAACAAAACTTGTGCTCTCAGCTAAGGCTTTCCAAACTGCTGTACAGTGGTGGATCTAGGTACAAATGCATCTTTGTCTATATTGTCTTCTTAAATTCAAATTGCAAATGAAAAAGGCAGTCTCAGGAATTCAGGTAATGTTGCTTTCATCCGCTCGCTTTCTTCTTAGAATAGACAAGTCTTGACAGACTCTTCTCTTTGCTCAGGCGTTCGGGTGTGATGGCCAGATGGACTCCAGAAAGATCATGGACTCTTGCAAGGTCTGTGGGGGTGACAACACCACTTGCACCAAAGTGAGTGGATCTTACACAGAAGGAAAAGCTAAAGGTGTGTAGTCCTCACCCTCTGGTTCAACGTTATGGTACTGTTTGTATGCTGCATATTTGTATGCAGTGCTCATAATCTTCTGAATGTGACTTCCTGTTTCTGCTTCCGCTTGATTTTATTTTACGGAGGTTATGGCGATGGAGTTTGGGTAGTCAACAGAGAAGGCAGCTAACATCTGTAGCAGAGAGGTAGCTCTTGTGTAGGCAGAGTGACTTTTTTGGTCATAGTTCTTCTCTGGACATGGACCAGAAATGTAGCCATTTGGGAAGTCTAGCAAATTACTGGGAACTGAGGGCTGTGTCAGATGCTTCCTGAGGTCTTAAACATCCATTTGGGAACTGATCAGGCTCTTGCAGTATCACCTGTAGATACTAGCAGAGAACATAAGAAGAACAAAAGAAAGATGAGGACAAGACACGATTCAGTTCAGTTTTGTTTGCTGTGTTCATCATCACTATGTTCAAACCAAGCTGGTAGAGCTAAAGTCAGTGTGAATTTAGCCTGATGGCCATCACCATTGTATCCTTTTTTTTTTTTTCAATATCAGCTATATAACCCCTGTCTGCGATTAAGCTTTGCTGCTGCCTGTGAGGCTTGTCCTCCAATGGATAGCGTGCTAGTAAGGTGAAGAGAGGTTGATCTTTAATCCCCAGCCTTTTTAACAGAGGTACAGTAATGGAAGGTGACCATATCTTCTTCCTTTCCATCCTTCCAGAGTATGTTACATTTCTGTCCCTGCCTTATAACACCACCTTGGTCCACGTCACCAACTGGAGACCACTCTTCACGCATTTGGGTGAGTTGAATGAAAAGGAGAGGCGGGACTACAGGCAAGGCTAAAACAAGCTTGTATAAGCAAAAAATGGAATTTGAGAGGAAAGATACTGATGATGCAGTTTGTTTGTGGGATGCTGTCCAGGAGGAACTGGTAGAAGCCATGCTCTTTGGGATGCCTGACTTACATCAAAGTGGTTTCTAGCAAACGGGCGGTCTGTAGCTGCCAGCACCAGAGGATCCTGGTGACCACATCATATCTTTTAACCTCACTGCTACTTTTGCTCCTCTAGCTGTGAAGGTTAAAGGAGAGTATGTGATTGCTGGAAATGGAAAAATCTCACTGAATGTCACCTATCCGTCAGTTCTGGAGGACAGCCAGATCAAATACAGAGTGTTTCTCACCAAGGACAACCTGCCAAGCCTGGAGGAAGTCCATGTGGATGGGCCAACACAAGAAGAAATTGAAATACAGGTAAATTAAAATAGCAGAGTTGGAAAGGGGCCAGTCAGAACTGGCCAGGCTGAGTTTGTATAGCTCTGCTGCAGTGCAGAATCCAGGTGTAGTAGGCTTCGTGTCCAAGGCCAGTGGAGATGATGTTCACTAAGAGTGATGGTATTGCCGATCTTGGGGAGGGTTGAGGGTTGGCTGCCTACAGGCTTTCTGCAAATCTGGGGGATGGTTGTGTGGGGAAAAGCATACTGAGTTAAACCTTTTGCTCGGCTTCATCTTTTTTTTCAGAGCTCTGTGCACGGAATTCACAGGGTGAGTACTCTGGCTGCATTTGGCAAGAATTGAGAGTCATAGGTTGAGGCTCAGGATCGAATGGAAAAAGGGAACTAGCTTCTTTTGTCTCCGTCCTAAGGAATGAGCCTGAGTTGCTTTGTGCATTGACCACAACTTTTTCCTTCACCAGGTTTATCGAAGTTATGGAAAAGAATATGGCAATGCCACCAACCCAGACATCACCTTCAGCTACTTTGTCCCCAAAGAGAATCTGACGTATATGTGGATTCCTCAGCAGGGACCGTGTTCAGTGACCTGTGGGGAAGGTGAGGCAGCAATACTCACTCTCCAGTTTTTAGAGATCTGGGCAGAATTCTAATTTGGCTGGCTAGTAGTCACGCAGACCTTTACTCCACAGACTCTCCTGGGCTGACTGAAAGAAATGTGACATCAGCAGTAGATATTTGATTAGAACTTTCTGAACAACTGAACCGAATTTAGAAGCGAATTGTTGAAAGCGAGCTGCAGTTGCTAGTGATAAATGGAACCAAAGAAAAGAGGGGTACAGCTTTTGACTTAAATTAGCAAATCAGCAAATGAGCTGAATCATCAAAATGGTAGTGAAAATGTTTGATCATGAAGAGGATTTTGAAATAGATTTTAATGGAACTTTTGGGTTTAAGACTAAATAATTTTCTCAGATTTTTCAAAGTTATTGAAGGCTGTAATTTGAAGTTGGCTAAACATCAAAAGTCTGAGACCAAAGTGGTATCTAGTGTCTAACTATAGCCTCAGAGCTAATTATGAAACTTCCTTCTTAGAATTCTGTTCCTGAGCCGTGGCTAATCCTTTCTGTCTCCCTGAAGAAATCATAATGCAGATTGCAACAGATCATTCTGGTAGACAGTCTGACATCTTGTTTACCAGATAATAAAGATGACACTGGCAAGCCTCTCAAGACTTTTATGACAAGGATTTAGAAAATACATTAATGAGTACTTACGGAAGTCAATCTGTAAGACTAGTTATGTCTGGAGAGTTTTTCTCCAGCACATTCCCCAGGTGAACTGATTGCTGAAACCCTGAACTAAAGAACTCAAAATGCTCTAGGGCCTCCCAGCTAATGCAGTCACAAACAAAAGAATGAGAAAGCTGGGACTTAAAATAACAAAGTTGAGAATTGGAGCTGAAATTTTATCTTGAGAGCTGAAAGTGATGCTCAGGCTCTCCTTACCAAGAGATGTTATTTGAAAACAAGATAGTAGTGAAAATATAACATTGCTGATTGGTTCTTGATGTTTGCTTTTAAAGATTGAAAATTCATCTGTTATACTTGAGGTGTTCAAGCTGCGGAGCATATTGCAAAGGCAGCTCATATTTCCTAAAAACTCCCACCATTATAATAGGTTCCTTTACTGGACTGATTAAACCTTGAAGAAAGTTTCTTGATGTGTTGGTCTGATGGTGTATTTTAGTACATGTGAATATCACAACCTAGCTGGTATAAAGAAGGGTGTGAAGTGATCAGGTATTTTGTGATTTTTTTTTCAGGTACTAAACCATTCTCTTATTTATAGCTGTAGTTTATGAATATTTTGTTTCTAGCATGCCACAGGCACTTCAAGTCTGCAGTTTCTGTCCCAGTACTTCTAGTCTAGTTTTGGATGTTGATGATCACTTTGAGGACATTGGCACGGTGCTGTCTGCTGCGTGATGATATTACATGATTATTTCTGTAGAACGTCATTTAAAAGTGGCTGATGGCTAGAGCTTATGTTCAGCAACCTGTCCCTCATCAGTCAGACATCAAGATCATTAGAAGTAATTTAGGCCAAATTATGATTGATATTCTTCTTTTTGCAAACGGCCAGTTTAGAGAAATCTTTCTGTTTTGGCTGTGGATTATCCATCAAACTTCTCATCTTCTGGAGTGTTCGTCTTGGAAAGTCACTTTAAAACTCTTGAGGAAAAGTTGTATCAGAAAGAAGGGGTTTGTGTGTTTATAGAAAGTCTGTATTCCCAACTATGCCATTTTCCTACACAGATTATTGGAGTAAAGCAAAATTACTGCATCTTCCTAGCTTAATAGAGGTGATTCATTCTGCTTTTTTTATAACTTCCCTTCCTTCTCCTTTTGTATCCCAGGGATGCGGCCAGTGAATCATGTGTGCTTTGACCAGACAAAGAATGAAATAACGGAGGATCGGTGGTGTCTGGAGCTCCCACAGCCCCTTTCAGAGCACAAGCCCTGTGCCATGGAGCCATGCCTGTACAGGTTGGTGTTCCTGGAAGCTCAGCTGAATTCTTGCTTTGCTTGTCTTTTCTCTGCCAGCTAACTTTGTCTCTGCCATCTCATTTGCATTGTGCAAGGTGAAAAAAAAAAGAGAGGTATGAAGTACCTTCCTAATTATAGTGGCGTAGCGGTTCCCAAACCATATTCTGTCTTTCCTGGTCTCATGGGGTAATTGAGATGTCAGCTGAATGAATGAGAGATAGTCCTTCCAATATGTTACAGTTGTCTACTAAATGAAAATACTTTGAGGGCTTGGCCAGAAGAAAATATCTGCTCACATCCTTTCCAAGATTGTGCCAACAAAGATTTGATCTTACTCTGGAGGAGACCTTTGTGTTAATTAGACTAGAAAGAGGACCAAGAGCCAAACCTGCCCTCACATTGATCTCATAGACATTTTGGTGTTTTATAAAACATTATTACACTGTGAGCTACAGCTCTTTAGGTGTTTTTAGCCCTAGAGAGCTGCCAGTGCAAGCACTTAAATTTTCAGCAGTTGTCCTCTCAATCACACCCAGACAAGGCTCTTGAAATAGCAAAGCTGAATACTCTGTATGACTCATTTCTGTAATCAGTGGTGTAAGTATGATCCAGATGAGAAACAGGGTGATAAAATTACTTCCCATTTAGGTGGAAGATGTCTCAGATAGATGAATGCTCTGCTGTATGTGGAACTGGAGTTGCCCAACGGAATCTGACTTGTGTTCAGCTTCGTGATGGATTGGAGACTGTTGTGGATGACAGCTTGTGTCCAGCAGAAGAAAAACCCCTCTCCGTTGTGCCATGTGTGGTTAACGTCTGCCCTTTAGGCTGGGACAAAGTGAGTTTACTGGCTTGGCTTATTTCAGGAGTCTTTCTAGGAGCTTTGCACTCACAAGAGGCTACCAGTCAGGAGCCACCTCCTTACCACTGCTGTCTGGGAGGGTGGTTTACATCAAGGATGTCTGCCCAGTTAAAGGTTCATCTTGTCACTTTAGACAGCTCTATCCTTCTTAATTGATGCTGCTGGATTAATCAGTTCATAGTGGTGGTTTGTTTAGGGCAGCTGTTGACAATGTTCCTTCTTCATTTCTCTTTGCAGAGTCCAACAAAATCAGAAACAGAAATAACCCCTGGTCCACTAGGAAATACCTCACTGGCAAAGAGAGATGTTCTGACATGGTAGGGAGGATTGCTAGCAGGGAAGAGGGCTTCTCAGCACAGGACCACTGGTCCAAATCTGTACTGGGAAGCCACTGCCAGGTTTACTTTTACAGATGTGGAAGATAATGCGTTAGACATCGCCAGTCTCAGATATCTCTTTTCAAGTAGTGTGAATTAGGAGAGGTCTTGGCCATTGGATGTCCTTAACTATTCCTTATATGTTCTGCAAAAATGAAGAAAGTGCTTAAATGTGCCTCTTTCTTCAGTGACAGCAAACATGATGTAGGATTGATCTGGAGGTATCCTCCAGCTTCATTAGATTGGGACCAGTGTGGAAAGCAGGTGCTAATGTCAGTCTGGCTCTTTTTGCTCTGTTCTGAGGAGAAAGACACACACTTACTTCAGTCTTCGGAGTCACCTGGGCATATCCAGCTGGAAAATCGCACCGTGTATGTCTGGAGCCCTCTAGCTGGAGGGTGTTCCGTCTCCTGTGGTAGAGGTGAGATCTTTCAGTGCTGCAGGGAAATGTTACTTGGCTGTAGGTGTGAGCTCAGTGTGTAGAAACCTCAGGCACCTGGTCTTTTCCCCTCTACAGTTCTAAGTGCATGTGTAGCTGTGGTCACAATTTTTTTGAGCCTGGAAGAGGCAAGGGGGCCTGGCTCAGACAGGGAATAGTTTAGAGGGCTGGCTGGCTGCTGCTGTGCTTCAGAGTTGGGGGGGATGAGTGCAATAAGTGTGCCTGGGGCTTGGGCAGAGTTGGCTTGTTTAGTACGTGCAGATGCGACTGACAGTGCTTGGCTTATTTTCAACTCTTGCATGCATGTCATGCAGTAAGATCACTTCCCTTTCTAGGTAGGACTCAGCTACAGTATGTATGTGTGGCTTTTGACACCAAAGAGGAAACTCAAGAAGAAAACTGTCATCCAGTACCAAAGCCAGAGAGCAGGATGGAAGTCTGTGATCTCAGTCCCTGCCCACCAAGGTAAAGCAGTTACCAGGAGACAATGAGCCACTGAGAGGTCTTTCCTTCCTCTCTGTCTCCAGGGACATGGTAGAGTAAGGGTCAGGCTACTCTGAGGATGCTATCTTCCTTTCCCCTGGTTTGAAAGCACAGCGAGCTGCCAAAACAGCAGGATTGATCCATACCGAGCAAACTGAGAGTCTTTCCTGGACTCATATATTCTTAAGCAGAACTAAGTGAAGTCTTTGGAGTTTGAGTCCAGGGAAAAACTGAAAACCTCTTTATCCCTTATTATCCTGGTGAAGTAGGAACGAATCCATCACTGCAAAAGGTGGTGACACGTTTGCCAGCTGTAGTTTCCACATAGCATCAAGGAAAGTAGCTGGAATTAAATGCTCTAAGAATCTGGAATAGCTGCTCTGAGAACTGAACGAAATTGATTGCACTTTTCCTTAGGTTTTATGGTATTGCAGACTGCACACAGTGGGGTGACTGCCAATCTCTCAAACATGAGCTGGTGTGTATGTGTGCATTAACAGAATTCCAGTTGTACTTCCATAGAGTGGTTGGATTTAAAATCCAGTGAAGCCAGGTGACAGCTGGTGGTACTCACTGGTGGCTGCCTTGTTCCCAGGTGGCATTACGAAATGGGCTCATGCAGTGCAAGCTGTTGAGGAGGTGTGATGCACGAGGTCCTCTACTGTGCAAGGGAGACCAAGGAGAAGGCAGAAGAGATTGTGGCAGACACCTAGTGCGATGGTTTGCCTTGCTCAAAGGAATAGGAGCCATGTAATTTGGAGCTGTGCCCTCTGAGGTCCAAATGGCCACATGAGCCACAAGAGCATGCACTGGGGGAGAGCGGTTGTCCGTGAGCATGTATGGTGTGATCTAGGATATGGCTCAGGGTTGATAAATGGGGCAGAGCTTCCCCTGCCCGATTTGCTGTGGGACTAGAAAGCCACTGGCATCTGAGCTTTTTTTTTTTAAGTGCTACAGGATGCCTCTCCTAGGATGAAACGCCCTGGGTTGTTTTCTGATCTGACTGTTTAGAGTGATGTTCCTTTTGGAGGGAGATAAGATTGTTTTTGCAGTTAAGCCGGTGTATGTCACCCTGGGGAAGACTGTAATGGATGCAGAGTAAGACTTGATGTATGTTTTGAGTCTGTTGGCTTCTTTCAAAACGTGAATGTCCTCTGTTTGGGTCCAACTCCAAACCTGCTCCAGCCTTGTTTCAAAGGCTGCCTTCTAAGTATCATAGGCAGCAAAGCTTGTGAGGTGGAGGGTGAAGAAAGCTGCTGAGAAGCAGAAGGGGGAAGGATGAGGGAGTTGCAGTGCATTTTCTACAGCAAGAGACAGTGAAGGGTGGGGGTTCATCACTAACTTAAATTTTCTCCTCCGTGTCCTCTGTCAGATGGAAGGTAACCCCAGCTGGCCCCTGTTCCTCCAGCTGTGGGCTCGGCTTAGCTGTTCAGCTGGTCGCCTGCGTGCAGATTCGCCAAGGCAAGGAGATTTTGCTGGAGGAACGTTTGTGTCCTGTGGCGGAGAAGCCTCTTACCACCATTCCCTGCGTCATCCGCACGTGCTCTTATGAATGGAGCTTCAGCGAATGGACAGAGGTATTTGCTCCTGTTCAGGTGCAGCACTTGGTGTCTGGTGCGGCGGTTTTATAGCCACGCGCTTCCCTAAAGCATGCAGGGGAGAAATACCACTTCTGCCTTGTGTGTTTACTTCCCACTGAAATTCTAAACTGTTTCTAGAGATGTTTTCCATTCTTTCCACGGCCCTGTGTTTAGTAGCTGTGGGGCTGCTTCCCACCTTTCTCAGCTAAGATTTTGGCCGCAGTTTAAAAGTGGTCCTTGGCATGTTTTCTTCTGGAATGCAGATCTTTTTGGATGTTTTAGGAAGTGGTTCTGCAATTCAAAGATAGTTTGGCAGATCCCCTGGGAGGTGGGCTATCTTGTAGCTGATGAAACTAGAGCACTGAAAGGGCACGTGATAGAACAGCATCAGTGAACAAAAGATCAGCCCCTAGATCATGCCTGAGCCAATAAACATATTTATTTCTAAACACCAACTGAAACACATGTATAAAGGCCTGTGGGTTTCTTCTTCTGCAGTGTTCAACTTCGTGTGGGAATGGCATTCAGACACGGCAGGATTTCTGCCTCAACCTGCTAACCCGTAAGCACGTGAACCCCATCTTCTGCAGGCACTTCCCCAAGGCCATTGTGGTACGTGGCTGCTCTGCGGGGCCCTGTCCTGAGCAGGCGGTGGGGACCAGGTCGCATGGAGCAGAACCTCAGACAGTGACACCAGCCGTGCATCTGACGACAGCTCCAACTGCTAAAAAGGCAAGATATAAGGACCTGGATCTTCCTCCATCTGCCATGCCAGCTGTGCCTCGGGAACAGACAAAGACCAGTGGAGGTGAGGAGGACACTACCAAAAGGTAGAGATGAGCGCTTGCTGCGTGCAGCTGGGTTGTGGTGACCCTACTGCTATACAGGGACAGGAGCATGGGAGGGAATAACTCCTGGTTAGGAGGGACAATGTGCTGTTCCTTCCGGCATGCCATGAGCTGCCGTGTTATCTGAGCTAGGAGCAATGAGTGCCTTCCCTGGGCTTCCCAAAGCTCTTCTGAGTTGGAGCTCCTTGGGGCAGCAGCTGACTCTTCCTGTGCTTTACCTGGAAGGTGAGCACACTGTTGGCACTCGTCCGTTCGTTGTGCCACGAAGGAATGGAAACTGTGTTTCAGCAGCTCTACTTCCTTCTGGATGCGTTTCTCATCTATCTTTGCTGTCCAGGTGCGTGTGGAAAGCTCTTTCTTAATGCCACTGGGGTCATCAACATGATGGGCGTAGAGAGCAGCGACTGCACTGTGGCCATCGGACGTCCTCTTGGGGAGGAGGTAACAATCAGCGTCCTGGAGAGCTCCCTCAACTGCAGTGCAGGTACTGCCCAGGGCATGCTGGGGACCAGCCTGGCCCTTTTGGGAAATCTGCACCTCGTTTGCCCGCGTGCTTTTGGTGCCCTGAATGGTTCTTGCTGCCTTGGAGCCTTTGTCATCTCTGAAACCATTTTACAAGTTTTTCTGTCTCACCGAGTCTTTGCCAGATAGGACTAAATGAAAATGATGCCTTTCCTACCCCTGCAGAATGGTTTATTACCTGTTTTGTTGATAGATATTGGATGAAAAGAGTTTATGGGGTTAAAGAAGCTGCTTGCTTTGTCCTGTTATAAACTCTGTCTGTAATATATCCTCTTGCTGGAATCGGTACAGTTAGATTAGTTAACTGGACTGTTTTCATGGCAGATTTTGATAAGATAGGGACAAGATGCAGAATTACTTGATTCCAGACCTATATAAGATAGGTTGTGACCTTTTACTTAAAGTAAAAGTGTTTCTAGTCCCTGTGCTTATCCGTTCCAGGTGAGGTAGTGCTGTTTTCTGGGCGAATGATGTGGCGGACGGGCTGCAGGAACCTCCTTTTGTCACTGATAAATTCCAGAACGAACACACTGATTGTGAAACAGCGTGTTTTGCTGCCAGGAAACGGGGTCATTCTTCAGTACAACAGCAGAATTGCAACTAAAAAATATTACCAAGGTACTGTACTGAAAGTTTTGCTATGGCTTTAAGTTAAGGCACCCGTGACAAGGCCCACAGAGTTCCATGGATCATGATTGCCTATGGAAATCTATGGAAACCTTGCTTCATTTTTAACAGCTAATAATCCTCTTCTTGGGGAATGTTGAAATTAATATTACTTGTGAACAGCCCCTCCATTTTAGAGGCAAGCTCTCTCCAGGTGTTTGCTGATACTTGGAGGTTCCCAGATGAAAATCCTTAGAGAAACTTTTCTGCCTGTGTTTAATTTAAATGATTTCTTTCCTGGAGATGCTGGACACTTCTCTAAATCATTTTCTTTTTTGCTCTTTCCCCCTTTCAGACTGTGACAAGCAGCTGTTTGGTCCTCAAGGTGAAATAGTGAATCCTGTGCCTGATCAAAGGCAAGAAGTAGTGTGTCGGACCTTCATCAATGTGGCTCCTCTGCATCGCATAGCTATCCGCGCCCTGTATGTTGACCTGGGCAATGAGAGCAACCAAACACATTTTAATTACATCCTGGTGAGTCAGGAACCTAAAGGGGATAGTTTGGATGGGTACAAACCCATGTTCTCATTAGATATTTCCACCCAGATGCAAAGTTCAGTCACAAACGCTAGAGAGTCAGACTCTGATCTCTGTTACATAAATGTAGATGTGAATAAGCACTACTGATGTCTACCGTGTTTCTTCTAACCTTTGTATAGGGCAGCTTTTCCCCCTGAGTGACTGGCAAGTCTCCAGTATTTTGTGGGTTCTTCACTTGTAGGCTGCTATGATACAATGGTTTGTTCTTTCTTTATACAGGTCCGTGATGTAAGCACCATGAAGATGATGGTGTTCCGTGGGAAACAGCAATTCTTCTGGCAATCAACAGGAAGCCAAGCTGAAATTGAATTTCATGAAAATATTAAGGATCACCGAACCCGTTTCTGGGCTGAATATCATGCTATTGAGCCCAAATAAAAGGCTTCAGGGCCACTTCACTGAGAAAGGCCGTGATCCAGTTAGTCACTTCTGCCTGCTCACTGCTCGAGGTCACAGGAGTCGTTTCATCTTTTTGGAACTGCTTCCCCATCTATTGAGTAAGAACAATATCTACTGACTCCTTTGGAATCTCAGTTAACGTTTATAAAAGTATCCAAAAGACACATAACTACCAAATGTTTAGCAAATAGTCCTTGTGCAGATTTTCTGTCTCTCTTGATTGGTATTAATGCAGTTTACGTGTCTGCAGTTGGTGACTTGGACACTGAAGTCGCAGGGTCCTGCTTCTGTAGTACCTCATGATCTTTTAGAATAATCATTTAATTTCTCAGTGGCTTAGTGTCCTGCTACAAACCTCTGTGTACCACAGGTAGCTAGGATTATGATTTAGCTGTTACGTTCACTCTCCTGCAGTGTAATGCCCCTTAAAACTGAGGCCCATTGAAATTCTGGAATTTTATAAAGAAGGCAAAGATATGTATGAGAATGAACTGTGCTAGCACAAGAAGACTGGACATGTGTGTGAAGGAGGGCAAGAGAGTTTCTTTGCCCAGGAGGGTAGTACAGCACTAGGAGACGTCACTCAGAAAGCTGATGGAATCACCATCATTGAATGTTTCTGGTTAGACCAAGGCACAGCTGACCTGGTCAAGCCCTGGCGACAGTTGGCTTTGTGTGGGAGGACTAAATGACATCCAGAGGTCCATGCCCAGCCACCCCTTCTGTGGTTCTACTATTAAATATCTGACAGTGATACCAGTACTGCTTTTCTATGGGAAAATAAAAGAATTCTGTCTCTTCATGATGGGTTTGGTGCCAAGACATACTTACTCAGATAAGAACAGTAGCTGTGCTACTAATCTGCTTGTATCTTCATCTCACAGGAACTGCGCAGTGAGAGATTGTTGCATGGTACAAGTTGTAGCAGGAAGAGGCATTTTAGAGCAGTGACAAATATTCACTCAAGTTTGATTTAAATACATTTTTTACATTGTTTTTATTTAATATCTTGAACGTGAAATATCTCAAATATTGGACCATGCTTTGGTCCAGATCTGTCATCCTCCTCAAAATCACAATATACTGCTTAAGGGATGTTTTCCACACCTGGAGCCTGGCTGGACACATCTGCCCTTGCTCTTCATGCTGGATGCAATAAATGGTTCTGCCTGGGCAGTTCTAACCCTGCTTCTGCTTTCTTTCAGTTAAATTCTCTGACATCTTTTTACAACCACAAAATCTTATTTTCTTCTGCCTTCTTAATAGTTGTTTTTTGCTGGTTAAGCCTGGAGTTTTTTGCTTGCCAACCTCCAGATTTACGTTCCATTCCTGGAAGAGCTAGGAAGTAGATTCTTGAAGCGAGATCCTCGAGGAGCTGGATGTATCAGCTATCCCACCGCAGTGCGTGGGTGATGCAGGCACTGGGCCTTCATTTCCTGTCTAACAGGAGATGTTAATGAAAAGACATCCTTTCCTTAATCCTTTTTTTGTAACCTTTCAGCAGATGGGATCTGTCTTTCCACTCTGCTCTGGATCCCAGGTCTCACTGCTATTTGTTGTTCCAGATCGACTACGCAGAGCGCGCGGTCTGCAGAGGTGGGCTCTGGTTGCCGACTGAATGCTCTGTGTTCATTTGCAAAAAATGCAGCTGTCGTCTTTGTAACATCAGAGAATTCACCTGTCCTGTTTGTTTGGATACCAGCAGCTTGCCAACTGGGACAAAGACTTGCAAAATCCTTTCTCCCGTTTTCTAGGGAGAAATCCCAATTCCGTTCAGATTAAGGGGAGTGTCTCCCTCTTATCTTGAGGGCAGAATTTTGCAACGCTCGTTAAGTTCACGTTCATGCAAAAATTCACGTTTCAGTTTCTTCCGAGCACACGCTGGCTGCCTGGCTAACAGCACCTCGGTGTTATCCATGGGGAGCGGGACCCCCTGCACGCCAGCCCGCCCCTGCCGTGAGCGCGTGCCTGCGTGGCTGCTTATGAATACGTACCCGACGGGCTCTGCCCACCAGCATTTGATGAGTGACATCAAAGCCCTGCCTGCTGGAGGAGGGGACCCACAATG